AAAGGCTGGAACCCTAGGGTGTGGACTTGGGTGTTCACTTAGTGAAGAAGAACCTGACTGCGTGAGCTTGAGACCTTGGGAAAGTTAGCAACCTCTCTGTGCTCCGTTTAATCAGTTTTAAAATGAAGCTAATAGTGGCGCTTACCTCATAGACGTGTTATGAGAGTTAAAGGAGTTAATATTTGTAAATTTCTTAGAACGGTGTCTGGCATATACTAGGCACTTGTATGTGTGTGCTATATAAAACAAAGACCCATGGTTAGAGAGATGAAAATAATACCCCAGTGAGCTCTGAAGGGAAAAAGGAAAGTAGGAGCACTGGAGTCCTGAGCAGGGAGCCGAAACCGAGAGCAGAGATGAGGAAGAGCATGTTGCTGCTAACAGCCACCTGAACGATCCCCCTCTCCCAGCTTCTTTAGGATCCTTCAAGTAAGCGTTTCTTGTGCTTTGAGGGCACTAGCTAACCATCCCCTCCTCTCCTTCCACCCACTGTCTCCTAGATCAATAAGTGGGGGGAATGACCTTCCTAAATACAGCAGGCACAGAAGGGCGGCTGGAGATGACTACACCCTGCACCCGTCAGGAGAGAATGGGTTACAGTGCGTTACACTGAGTGAAGGCGAGTAAAGGACAAAGAGGAAGCAAAGGGTTGAGTAGCCAGTTTTGTGTCATTCTCCATGAGGGTGGAAAGTCCTTGGTCACAAGGCTTTAAGTAAAGGAACCTACCACCCTCCCACAATAGTATACTAATGTCTACTAGATTTTTTTACTTTCTTTTTTCCCCTAAAGATTTATTTATTTATGGGGGGGGGAGGGGCAGAGGGAGAGAGAGAATCCTGAAGCAGATTCCCCGACGAGTGCAGAGCACAATGTGGGGCTCGATCCCAGGACCCTGAGATCATGACCCGAGCTGAAATCAACAGTTGGTCATTTAACAGACTCAACCACCCAGAAGCCCCAACTTTCTTATCACTTTTTTTGAGATCTGGGTTGACTTGAATCCGTTTCTTCAAAACAAAAACAAATGCACACACAAATTCTCAAAACCGAGATGGGATCCTGGCCAGCCTCTACTTCCCTCTATTGGTGTATAATAAAAAATTGAGTATAACAAAGAAAATATGGGTACATAGCACCACCAACATCAGTCTCCCAACTGATTGCTCATACCTCTTTCTTTTCCAGCTTCCACACAGGTGAGCCTAATAATCCCAAACTTGCAGGTTCATTCCTCTCTAAGGTTCAAGACAAGAAAGATTTGATTCAGGAAACACTTGACTAGCCTATGTCTACCACTGAGACTTGGAGCTCTTGTGAAGGCATGCTGGCTGCTTGGTCAGTCACCATGCTGATCTCCAGGCCTGCTTCAGCGCATCAGGCTGCCGAGGTGGGTCTCTACTGCCTCCTACAAGTCTTGTGTTAGCACACTGATGCTCTTTCCCAGCCTCTATTTGGAAACGGGATTTTTGAGCTGATGTCTTGATATCCAGTTTCCCCCATACATAACATATTTTTCCATTTCTATAAGTGGGCTTCTGCTTTTTAGACCTTTCTGAATGTCTGCAGTAATAGTCTGCTCAAACCTCTTTCTAGAACAGAGGCTTTATCTTTATCTCAAAGGCCCCTCTCTACAAGGACTTTGGACTGGTAGCAAATTGGATCTCACCAGGACCCCTGCAGCCATGAAATCCTGTGTCTAACCCCCAGGACGATGGTCAGGACCTACTTATCTGTGGACAGATATCCAGGTGGGCCCACTCACCTCTTGGACTTCTCAGTATCGACTTCTGGAATCCTTCTACTGTGCTATACATTCAACAGGACATCAAGACCTTGTTGATATTGGACCTTTGTTTATTTTGAAAAAAAACTAATTCAAATCCACTCCCATCATATTGATATGACTGATACTTGAACCATGTCTGGATATGCTCATTTCCTTGGATATTCTGCTTCAATGCCCTGCTTAAACTTCTATGGTTGGCAAAGACCTGCCCACCAGCCCCATTCTCTGGATGAATGATTCCATTTCAGCATCAAGGGCATCAAAGGCAAAGGCAGCCTTTTTCAGTGGTTAAGTTTAACGACATTGGAGTTCAAATCCTATTTCCTCCACTTTTCGGCTAAACGACCTCTAGTTTCCTGTGTTTCATCTGTAAAACTGGGGTATTGATAGTGCTCATCTCATACAATATTGTGAGGATTAAGGTGAATAATAAATATTACTACTTAGAGAAATGCCAAACATGTCATGATTGCTCCATAAATGGTTAGTTATTACTATTATTGCTGGGGGATAGGAAATGGGAGCCAGGTGAATGGTTGAAGAAACTGAAGCAAGAAAAGTGTACAGAAAAGGAAGAATTAAAAGAGTGTGAGAAAGAACATATAGAAGACAATGGGCATGAAGCAAAAGTGGTGGATTCTTCTGTCTTCCACCCTAGAGGGTGCGTGGCTAGACCCTTGCAGAAGTAGTCAGAATCATAGTCACAAGTTAGGATGAGAAAGCGGAATTTGGAGCATATGACTGTGAGTTTTGGTTCTTTGAGAAAACTTTTCCAACGTGGACGAGTCATGAGTTTGAGTACTCAGACTTCTCTTACTTCAGTGATTTCAAAGGCATTCTATTGGACATGTCATTTGGCCATTTAACCAACTCAGCCCCCCAGGCGCCCCAACTTTCTTATCACCAACTTCTCCCATTCAGTAGGTTGTCATTTAATTTTATGATTGTTTCCTTCACTGTGCAGAAGCCTTTTATTTTGATGTAGTCCCAATAGTTTATTTTTGTTTTTGTTGCCTATGCCTCAGGAGACATATCTAGAAAAAGGTTGCTAGGACCAGTGTTATAGAGAAATTAACTGGCTGTGCTCTCTTCCAGGATTTTTATGGTTACAAGTCTCATATTTAGGTCTTTAATCCATTTTGAGTTTATTTTTGTGTATGGTGTAAGAAAATGGTTCTGTTTCATTGTTTTGCATGTAGCTGTCCAGTTTTCCCAACATCATTTGTTGAAGAGACTGTCTTTTTCCCATTGCATATTCTTGCCTCCTTTGTTGAAGATTAATTGACCATATAATCATGGGTTTATTTCTGGGCTCTCTATTCTCTTCCATTGATCTATGTGTCTGTTTTTGTGCCAGCGTCATACTGTTTTGATGACTACAGCTTTGTAGTATATCTTGACATCTGGGATTGTGATGCCTCCAGTTCTATTTTATTTTATTTTTTTCAGGATTGCTTTGGCTATTCAGGGTCTTTTGTGTTCCATACAAATTTTAGGGTTGTTTGTTTTAGTTCTGTGAAAAAATGCTGTTGGTATTTTAATAAGGATCACATTAAATCTGCATGCACTAACACTTTAAAGAGCCTCAAGAAACTGAAAACCCAATGAGAGGAAGCCAAGAAGAGTAGAGCAGAAAGAGCTCCACCCTTGGGATTAGAGGAACCAGCATCGCTTTGCAACCTTACAAATATCAGGTTGTGAAATTTCGGGTGAATTGTTTAACTTGAGTCTTAGTTTATACTTTTTCTGTGTGTGATGGGATTAATAGTATCTATTTTTGCTTACTTCAATGGCTTTAGTGTGAATCCCATAAGAATATAGGCATAAAAATTGCAGAATGCTTTGCAAATTAAGTGACATCAAATGTCACCCTCCAGCCCTTCTCTGGAAGATTGGGGACATCCTTAGATTTTCACTTAGCTTCTATCCAACTCTCTTCCCCATCTACTTGCATTTTCTGTCTACCATGTGAGGGGGGGTTAGCACAGGATCCCAAAATTTGTCCTGCCTAGTCGTTGCAATCTCCATGAAGTTCAAATTAAAGGAGCCACATCTTTAAGTGGTCAAGGGAACCAGAGAGACCAAGGTGTATTGATTCTACCTTTTTAGGAAATCTCAACCCACTAGATTCTCTGTGTTCTAACACAGAGCAGGAATTTGCTAGTGAGTTTTTCAGAGTGGGTAGGAGAGACTATAAGTAGATTTAGAAATGCCAAGCATAGGGGTGCCTGGGTGGCTCAGTCAGTTAAGTGTCTGCTTTTGGCTCAGGTCATGATCTTGGGGCCCTGGGATCGAGCCCCACATCGGGCTCCCTGCTCAGTGGGGAGTCTGCTTCTCCCTCTCCCTCTCCCTCCTGCTCCCCCTGCTTGTGCTCTCTCTCTCTCTGTGTCAAATGAATAAATAAAAGCTTAAAAAAAAAACAAATAAATAAATAAAATCTTTAAAAAAAAGAAATGTCAAGCATAGTCAATTTTTATATACAGAAGGTAATTGTTTGGATTTAATGAGAGACTGTGAAGACAGAACACCCCAGAGCTGTGTTGATGTTACATAGTTTTCTTTGTACTAACAACAACCAGTATCCATGTGTCCTTATAGTTTACTGTTCAGCTGTAAGTAAGAAAAGTAGTTTCAAGTTCTCCATTTCTTTTTTGAGACCTAACTTATTGTAAAATGGAGATAACAATCTCTTCCTCATTTACTTTGGAGAGTTTTTGAAGGATAGAAGCAGAATAATAATTCTGAATGTGCTTTGAAAATAAAGGGGGCTTATAGAGATGAAGATCTTACAATGATAATTATAGGTATGCATTACTCTAACCTGATACAGTAATGAAATATAATTTGGAAAGGCCTATCTCTCTCAAAAACTATACACCAGAATCTAAAGCCAAAAAGAAATGCTTTTAAGTTATTCAAGGTTTTAGATGATATATTCTTTTGCTGTGCTTTCTCAGTGGGCCTACCAAGTGCTGACTCTCCTGAGCAGAAGGGTTTGCAGAGTGGGCACAAATAAAATTCAGAAACATAACCTCAAAAGCTGAAAAACAGTTAGGTTTGGATCTTAAGTCTCTCCCCAGACAGTTGGATACTTTCTGAAACCCAGGGTGTACTTGTTAAAATAGATGGGGAAGGCATTTCAATGTCTTCCTTACGGGCAATTTCTAAAACTTAATAGAAAACTAGGAGGGCATCAACAAGAGTCAGAACTCACAGGTTTGCAGGCAAAGGAGCCAGATCCACAGGTAGCGCTGAGCCATGTCCTTCTAGGCTGTAATCTTGTGTGAACAAGAAGGCGTTCCTCCAACAAAAAGCCAGTTGCAAGTAAGTTTCCCTGCGCAGTTTATAGCCACCGCTAAGAAAGGAAGTATGAGCGAGCGGATTGGAGAAACGTTGGTCTATGTATTATGATGATAATATTTTCCTATTACATAATACAAAATGCCTAGCATTAATTAATTATTTATTCAGCAAATATTTATTGAATGCTTACTGCGTGCCAGGCACTCTTCTGCAAACTGGCACTATACAGAACAACAAAGCAATGGATCCCTCTCTTTTCATGGAGCTCATGTTCTTGTTGGGGAGATCAACAATTAAATAGGCAATTCCTATATCGTATGATAAGTGTTGCAAGAGAGGAAATACAGGGAACTGGGAGAGCAGCAGGGGACTCTAACCCAGGCAAGGAGAGTGTGAGAAAGGCTTTCTAAAGGAACTGACAGCCTGGCTGAGGCAGACTTGAAGAGCAAGTTAGCATTATTAGGTGAAATGTGGTAGGGGGTTAGGGAATAGGAAGAATGTGCTGACACAACAGGAACCTGATAAATGGTAGCAACGCACATTATAGAATTACAGTTATATAATTATATTACATATAATTCTACTATATATAATTGTATTATATAATTATATTGATTATATAAATTATTATGTGTATTGTAGACTATATAACATAATGAGTATAATTATATTATGATTGAACTACATGTAATACAGGACTGTTCTCTAGTCGAGGCCTCCACTCCCTGTTAGAAGAATAATAGGGGCCTTGTATATGTGTGGGGTGTCAGGGAGAGGTGATGGGAATAAATATTTGGGCCCAGGAGCCAAGCGGTTTAAATTTGAACCCAGCTGTTTCAGGGAGTGTTGGGGGAAGCTGAGGACATGGCCTCTGAGACCTAAGGGCAGTAAGATTGTGTAAAGGTTTTCCCACTGAGAAGTGTCCTTGGCCAACTCCTGGGCCTCCAAAATCATTCACGGAACTATCCTACTCATCATTCTCCTTATATACTTGCTCAAAATTGAGTAGTTGAATACCTTTATCTACGTAAAGGTAGTATGTGGTGAACCAGGCAGCTGTTTGGGACCAAAAAAACATTGAAAATAAAAATGAAGTTTCCCAAATTAATTTATTCATTTCATAAGGTTGAACCATATTACTTCCTGAAATATGTAATTGCCACAGGTGCAAAACCACACATCTATCATCTATTCATCGCACAGAGAAGGAAGAAAGAAGAAAGAATATGAAGTTGCCAAGAGCTGCTGAAAACCCAACTTTGTGTTCTCTTTCTTCCTTTTTCCTTCTCTATAGGAATGTTCAATCCTCTCTGGCCATTTACAGCTGTTGCTTGGTCTCATGTCTATGTCTTTAGGAATTCTAGATTGGTATCTTACTCAAGGATGTATCTCCTGTTGAACCTGGGCCAGTGTCTTTTCTCTGTCTTTCAGCCTTAGATCACCAGATAACTAGAATATTTTTATCAAGAAGATACTAACTTTTGGGTGCCTGGGTGGCTCAGTTGGTTGAGCGACTGCCTTCGGCTCAGGTCATGATCCTGGAGTCCCTGGATCGAGTCCCGCATCGGGCTCCCTGCTCGGCGAGGAGCCTGCTTCTCCCTCTAACCCTCCCCCATCTCATGTACTCTCTCTCTCTCTCATTCTCGCTCTCTCAAAAAAATAAATAAATCTTAAAAAAAAAAAAAAGAAGATACTAACTTTTGAGACTTCTTCTCTTGATATGATGCAGAAAGATACAAAAGTCCTCCCATTCCATAATAACAACAACAAAAACAAAATAAGAATCATACTCTTCTATGGGACATGCATTGAATGGTGTTTGCAAAAAACCCTTGATGGACTGAATTCCAGTGAAACATGTGCCCTTTGTAGTTGAGCAGAGAGCTAAATAGCTCAAGACTTGGGGCAGGAAGCTGGTCTGGGGTTCAGACCAGAAGACACAGACTTTGAGAAGAAGGACAAGTTTAGATGAAACCGGCAAGACAGGATGGAATTTAGAAGCCTCCAATGCAAAACCAAATAGTTTTGCCCAACAATTCCCATCCCCTCCAGAATTTTGCTGAGAAAGTGGCACTGAGGAGGGACTGGAAATCAGAGACACACTGTAAGATACCCCATATTTCAAAATAGTTGGATTCTAGAGTTTTAATATAAAAGTAGACAAAAAAATACTGAAACTACAGCCCAACCCTGTCCCACCTCAAATATTAGCAAGCTCTAAAAGGCACTGGTGGTGAAGGAGATGAAGGGTTAGGTTAATTACAGATGAATTCAACCTAACACTGTTGACCTATTCCAGCTCAATTTCATTCTAAGGGAAATATTAATGATCAGCTTCTCCCTCAAACAGCCATGCAGAGGGAAGGGGTTACATTCCCAAGAAAATAAATAAAGCAAAGCAGAATAAAATATATTATACTTGAATACATATTATCCTTTGTTTCAAATTCTATTTTGTCTCATATAAGTATAGCTACTTCAGCTTTCTTTTGGTTTCCATTTGTATGGAATATCTTTTTCCATCCCTTCCCCTTCAGTCTGTGTATGTCCTTACATCTAAAGTTATGTACATCCAATTACATAATGATAAAGGGGTCAACCTGACAAGAGGATATAAATTTGTAAGTATTTATGCACCTAACATAGGAGCACGTAAATATATAAAGCAAATATGAATAGACCTAAAGGGAGAAACTGACAGCAAGGCAATAATAGTAGGGATCTCTAATACCCCATTTACATCAACACATAGATCATCCAGACAGGAAATGATAAGGAGACATCAGCCTTAAATGACCCACTAGACCAAATGGACTTAACAGATATATACACAGAACATTCCATCCAAAAACAAGAGAACATACATTCTTCCTAGGTACACATGGAACATTTTCCAGAATAGGTCATAGGTTAGGCCACAAAGCAAGTCTTAATGAATTAAAGAGAATTGAATTCATATCAATATCTTTTCTGACCACAAAGGTATGAAACTAGAAATTATGCAAAGAAAACTGGAAAATTCTCAAATATGTGGAGATTAAACAACATGCTACTGAATAATTAATGGATCAAAGAAGCAATCAAAAATTTTAAGATACCTTGCAATAAATTAAAATGGAAATATGACATACCAAAATTTGTGGGATGCAGCAAAAGCAGTTCTAAGAGGGAAGTTCATAGCAGTAAATACCTACCTCCAAAAAAAAAAAAAAAGCAAATAAATAACTTTCCACCTCAAAGAACTAGAAAAGGAAGCACAAGTGATGCCCAAAGTTAGTGGAAGGAAGGAAGTAATAAAGGCTAGAGCAGAAATAAATGAAATAGGGGGGAAGATCAATGAAAAGAAGAGCTGGTCTTTGAAAAGATAAACAGAACTGAAAAGACTCTCACCAATAAAAAAGAGAGAGGGGTCAAATAAATAAAATCAGAAATAAACCTACACATATATGGTCACATAATTTATAACAAAGGAGCCAAGAATCTACAATGGGGAAAGGACAGTCTCTTCACTAAATGGTGTTGGGAAAACTGAATATTCACATGCAAAAAGTGAAACACACCACTATCTTACACCATAGACAGACTAACTCAAAATAGATTAAAGACTTGAATACCACAAGACCCTCAGAAGAAAACATAGGCAGTGAGCTTCTTGACATAAGTCTTGGTGATGATTTTTTTATTCTGGCGCCAAAATCAAAAGCAACAAAAGCAAAAACAAATGGGACTACATTAAACTAAAAAGCTTCCGTGCAACAAAGGAAACCATCAGAAAAATGTAAAAGCAACTACTGAATGGAGAAAATATTTGCAGATTATATATCTGATAAGGTGCTAATATCCAAAATATAAAAGAACTCATACAACTCCATTGCAAAAAAAAAAAAAAAATCCATTAAATAATGGACAGAAGATCTGAATGGATATTTTTCTAAAGAAGACATACAGATGGCCAACAGGTACATGAAAAGATGCTCAACATCATTAGCCTTTAGGGAAATCAAATTAGAACCACAATGAGGTACTTCTACACATACTTTAAAATGGGTAAAATTAAAAAGACTCACTGGGTTGGTTAATTTTATGTGTCAACTTGATCGAGCTATCGGATACCCAGATAGTTGGTAAAACATTATTTCTGAGTGTGTTGTGAGGATGTTTCTAGAAGAGGCTAGCATTTGAATTGGTGCACTGAGTAAAGCAGAGGAAGGTTGAATTGGCTCTCTGTGCCTGACTGCCCGGGCTGAGACATCAATCTTTGCCCTTCGCCTGGGGCTCGCACCATCCATGCTCCTGGTTCTCAGACCTTCGGACTCTGACTGGAAGTCACACCACTAGCCCTCTGGGTTCTCCAGCTTGCAGACAGCACACTGTAGGACTTTACAGCCTCCGTCATCATCATGAGCCAGTTCCTTATAAGAAACCTCATTCTAGCTACCCATGTAGATATCCAATTGGTTCTGTTTCTCCGGAGAAACCTGACTCCCCGTACCAAATGCTGGTAAGGATGTGGAGGAACCGGAACTCTTACGCGTTGCTGGTATATATGTACCTAAAATGGTTGCTGTAGATTGAATGTTTGTGTCCCCCTAAAATTCATACGTTGAAACCTAACCCTCCATATGATGGTATCAGGTGGTGGAGGCTTTGGAAAGTGATTTGATCATGAGAATGGAGCATTCCTGAGTGGGATTAATGCCCTTATAAAAAAGGGTGCAGAGAGCATCCTCCTCCTTCCACCACGTGAAGACACGGCACAAAGACAGCCATCTACAAACCAGGAACTGGGACCTCCTGGCACCGAATCTGCTGGCATGATGACCTTGCACCTTCTAACCTCCAGAACCATGAGATAAATTTCTGTTGTTCATAAGTCAGCTGGTTTACAGTCTTTTGTCATAGCAGCCTGAATGGACTAAGACAATATTACAAGCACTTTAGAAACCAGTGGCAATTTCTTTCTTTTTTTTTTTTTTTTAAGATTTTATTTACTTATTCATGAGAGAGAGAGAGAGAGAGGCAGAGGGAGAAGCAGACTTC